TTTTCTTGAAACTTCTCCCTTTATCTGTGCCCATATCAGTTCAATCATGTTTACTTCGCAATGATATGGTGGTGATCTAACCACCGTCATCACACGATTTTTAGCAATTTCATCAATTTCATATTTTTTTAATTTCTCTTTATGAAGGGAACACAAATGATACAGTTCTTTTCTCACAGAACCGGGATGGAACTTAATATTCTTTGAATTTAGCCAATTCTGTAAATCTTTTTTTAACCACTTGGTTGTGGGCATTTTTTCTATAAGTCTCAAGTGACAACTTGCATTATCCATTACTATTATACAGTTCTGAGGAAGAAAATCTATAATTTGTTCGAACCACTCTTTAAAGACATCAGCATTCATGTCCTCATGGTAGTCACCGGTACGAGTAGATTCAAAAGTCAATAAACCACCTTTAACAAAACCGTTTGAACTACCGATGTGTACTATTATTAGTCTGCGCCTCTTTCCTGATGGTGGATTTAAATCAGTAGATAAATTATTTAAAAAAGCCTATCTTCGACTTGTAATAGTTTTATCTTGCCAAAATTTATTTGGTTTTTGTCCCTCGTTGATCCATGTTTCATCTAAATAAAATATATTTCTTCTTTGGTTTCTGATTTCTTTTATAGTCCTTAGGTAATTTCTTCTCCATACTACAATATTGCTTCTTTCTATTAAAATAGACTTTCTGGAATGCTTTGTCCATAGAAAACCTATTTCTTTTAAAAGTTTTCATAGTGTGCTTCGACTCATTTCAGGGTAATCCTTATCATCTCAAACCGTGGCAAGAACTTTGTCTACTGTCGGTAATTCTTTTCTAAAGAAGAACGCATGCACTTTCCTTTGAAGTCTTTCTTCATCTGTAAAGAGAACCTTCTTGACAAAGTTTGGATCTCTTTCTCTTTGCATATTAACAAATCAACAAAATCCCAAATGAATTTGAGGATCATGGACTAATAATTCTTGTACTGGCTTCTTATGGTATGGATATAGCAATTGTTCTCTAAGCACTTTATGAACGACATCTTTACTTACTCATAGTTCCCTTCCAATTCGTCTGGAGCTTAATTCTGGATCTTCTTCAACACGTTCTAAAATGTCTTCTTCAACTTCAGGAATCCTTACAAAACGTTCTCTTCCATTATCAACAGTGTTGGGAGCAAAGGAACCGGTCTCCCGAAGACGTCTCTCAACAGCAGCAAAAGTTGGGTGGCTAGGTACACGACGATTTGGAAATCTTTCAGAGTACACCCTGATACTCTCTCGAGCATTTCCTTTACAAATTCCTGTCAGTAACATATCGGTATATTCTGCATTGGTATATTGTACAGCCATATTAATAAACCACGCATTTTTTTTTAATTATTGAGTCAGATAGAACACTTTCAATCGTTAACAAGAGATTAGGTGTTAACTTGACAATATTTTTATTTAGATGAAATTATGGAAACCAACAATAAATGTTTTTGTATACGTATTGCAGGCAAATAATATTCCTCAAAAAATCGTACATGGCAAGAATCGAGTATTTTTGTTAAAAGTTTCGATTAGAGGTGTTGAAGAAGATTTGAAAAAAGTACATTTTTATGTTTTTCATCGTATAAAATTTTGTCCGATAATAATACATAGGCGTAGAACTTGATTTTTTAAATAATTGCACCTTTAAAAATTCTACGCGAATGGCAAAAAAGAGGTTTGAGTATGAAATTTGGATTGGGTACTCATTTACTACAAAAAAGTACCCTTGGTAACACTCGATTTACTCTCATGGTTTTGACAAAGTTTGTATTTTAATAATTATTGTTTATGTTCTAAAATTACTAAAATGTAAATTTCGTCAAAACCATGAGAGTAATCAAGTCTTATCAAGAGTACCTTTTTTAAAGTAAATGAGTTGCGCAATCTAAATTTCATACTCAAACTTCTTTTCTTTCATTGGCGTAGAATTTTTAAAGGTGCAATTATTTAAAAAATCAAGTTCTACGCCTATGTATTATTATCGGACAAAATTTTAATACCATTTTTTTTGCCACATAAAACTATACCAATATACTAAATTTTAGCAAAATCGCATATGCCGTTTTAAATTTATATGGGAAAAACGATTTAAAAATTGTAACTTCAAGGCCCTCTGGAGCCCAAACGAAGCAACTTTGTACTAAAGTAATTTTACTTAAATCGACTTATTTTGGTCTAAGGAATATGTGGTATGTTTTTGTAAAGACCTTTTATCCATTTTTTATAAAATAAAAAAAAAGTCTTTAGCTAGTATTTTTCGTAAACGAGGGTTTTTTAGCCTAGATTAACTTAAAAATTTTTTTCTATAAATCCGGTTCCTCCTTTTTATTTATGACTTTGAATATTAAAAAGAGCGTGACATTTGTCAAAAGCTGGAAATTTTCGTACTGTGGCGTTGAGCGTACAAGCAAGTCAAAAAGTGTGGCAAATACGCCTAAAGCGTGAGGTCTGGAAACCCTACTCCCTAGTCCGGCCATGACTGACAAGTTTCAGAAATATATAAGGTAAGCTATACAAGAATATAAATTAAATTAAGTGGAAAGGAATATGATATTCACAATGGCATTATTTACCTATTTTAGGAGCCTCGAATAATATAATTTGACCAAGAGATAGCCTCAGGAAGAAATATACCAGTACAAAAAGGAAAAGTGAATATAAAAGAACGCGAAAGAGAAGACAAATACTAGATACAAGGGGTATTTAAAAGTTAATGGTTTTAGAACAAAAATAGGATCGTTACAAAGGTGGTGCAGGTTTATTTTTGAGTTGTATTATATAATAGGTAGGTATCCGATTGCGTAATTTTTATTTGATTATTAAATCACGGCATTTCTCGCTAATTATGGCACCTAAAGTTATAACCACTTTGCTTAGGATAGTGATTTGTGTAGGTGACAGTTGAAAAAGTACAATGTCTTTACATGCCTTCAAGGAATAATTTCATTTCGTCATCAAATGACATCCGAAATTTGCGGTAGGCTCTTGGACTATAACAATCCATCTGTGAGAAATTATGAGTACGCCTCTGGCTACTAAAATATATTTTGGGGATTTTTTTTAGTATTAAGAAAATAGTGCTTGTGCGGGTATCAATTTATAATCTGTGGTGATAGAGAAACGTTGTGTGTTGTTGTAGGGTCCGATTACAATTAGAAGAACTGGTTTCACCGTTCTAATGCCAACGTCGGATCTGTGTGAATACACTTTTGGTTCTTAAACAAAACATTTAGCTTACAATGAAGTGTTTCTTGGTGTTGGTGACATTTTGTATTTCCATATTTTAATTTGTTTTGTTTTCAATATTTTATTAGTCGTTTAAGTTACATTTTTTTTATTATTTTTTCTACTTGCTTGGAATCTTCTTGTTCTACCGAAATGTACCCTTACTATTTACAATTTTAATATGATCAATAAAGTTTTATTTAATCTTTCTTATGATTTATTCGACCATTTGCACATCCCACTACTAATTGAAGAATATAAAAATTTAAATAATCCAGAAAAAATATACAACCTATATTATGCGAGTATCTAATACATAAATAAAAAATATGTAGAATCATTCTAAATTAAATTTACTATAGTGATTGTAATTAAAAAATAGACTATCAAAACAACGAGCTAATTTATTTCTTAAAGTTTTTAATTATTCCTGGTAATTTTGCTATGAATATGTTAATTGAAATAAAATAATAAGCATAAATGAAATGTCAATAAAATTATTTTGTGAAATATACCATTAAATTGAATGAATAAAGCCAATCAATTTAGATGGAAATCAATAAATGTATTTGCAAAACATTCACATGTACATAACTAAATAAAACTGTTATTGAAGCGCACATATCGATATTTAATTGATATCTAATTTTTATATTCCACAATTTTTTCAATTCTTATTAAGATACCTATGCGCTTTTATTGAAAATAATAAAATTATTGGTTTGCTTCTTTATGGCTTTACCATGTTTAATTAGATATATATTTTCATGTATCGTATTACGTAAGCCTTAATTGAGACTAACAACATAGTTTTACAACTTAGTTTTATATTATTATTTTACAACATGGTTTTATAGTATTGTTCTACAACATAGTGTTCAACATAGTATTATAATATAATAGTATTACAAGATAATTTATAACAGTTTATATCACAATTTATAACATAGTTTACCATCATTTACAACAGTTTACAATATAGTTTACAACATAGTTTACAACATAGTTTACAACATAGTTTACAACATAGTTTACAACATAGTTTACAACATAGTTTACAACATAGTTTACAACATAGTTTACAACATAGTTTACAACATAGTTTACAACATAGTTTACAACATAGTTTACAACATAGTTTACAACATAGTTTACAACATAGTTTACAACATAGTTTACAACATAGTTTACAACATAGTTTACAACATAGTTTACAACATAGTTTACAACATAGTTTACAACATATTTTACAACATAGTTTACAACATAGTTTACAACATAGTTTACAACATAGTTTACAACATAGTTTACAACATAGTTTACAACATAGTTTACAACATAGTTTACAACATAGTTCACAATATAGTTCACAATATAGTTTACGACATAGTTTACAAAAGTTTTACAACATAATATGATATATTAGTCTTACCACATAGTTTTAAAACACAGTTTTATAACATAGTTTTAAAACATAGTTTTAAAACATAGTTTTAAAACATAGTTTTAAAACATAGTTTTAAAACATAGTTTTAAAACATAGTTTTAAAACATAGTTTTAAAACATAGTTTTAAAACATAGTTTTAAAACATAGTTTTAAAACATAGTTTTAAAACATAGTTTTAAAACATAGTTTTAAAACATAGTTTTAAAACATAGTTTTAAAACATAGTTTTAAAACATAGTTTTAAAACATAGTTTTAAAACATAGTTTTTAATTATAGTTTAAAAACATAGTTTTAAAACATAGCTTTACAACATATTTATACAACAGTTTTGTCACAGTTTTGTCACAGTTTTACAACAGTTTTACAACAGTTTTACAACAGTTTTACAACAGTTTTACAACAGTTTTACAACAGTTTTACAACAGTTTTACAACAGTTTTACAACAGTTTTACAACAGTTTTACAACAGTTTTACAACAGTTTTACAACAGTTTTACAACAGTTTTACAACAGTTTTACAACAGTTTTACAACAGTTTAACAACAGTTTTACAACAGTTTTACAACAGTTTTACAACAGTTTTACAACAGTTTTACAACAGTTTTACAACAGTTTTACAACAGTTTTACAACAGTTTTACAACAGTTCTACAACAATTTTACATTTTTACAATAGTTTTACAACAGTTTTACAACAGTTTTAAAACAGTTTTACAACAGTTTCACAACAGTTTTACAACAGTTTTACAACAGTTTTACAACAGTTTTACAACAGTTTTACAACAGTTTTACAACAGTTTTACAACAGTTTTACAACAGTTTTACAACAGTTTTACAACAGTTTTACAACAGTTTTACAACAGTTTTACAACAGTTTTACAACAGTTTTACAACAGTTTTACAACAGTTTTACAACAGCTTTACAACAGCTTTACAATTTATTTTTAGAACATAATTTTATAATATAGTTTTACAACATAGTTTTACAGAATAGTTTTACAGAGAAGTTTAAAAGTTTTAGTGTTTTAGAAAGGTATATTATAAACACTGCACGTTTTTTCTTAAATCTGTACTAAGATTTATATTCTTTCATTGTAAACCCCCAAAAATTTGTTTAAATGCCGCCGCTGGTATTTAACATAGTATTGAACATAGGACTCAACACAGTATTAAACATAGTATTACAATATAGTATTACAACATAGTATTACAACATAGTTTACAACCTCGTTTTACAACATAGTTTAACAGTTTTTAACATAGTTTTAAAGATGGTTGTAAAAACAGTTTTTAAAGTAATTTGACAACAGTTTTGCATCATAGTTTATTAACATAATTTTACAACATAGTTTTACAATATAGTTTAACAACGTAGCTGTACAATATTGTTTTAAAACATAGTTTTACAATAGAATTATAAATACTATTTAGGTATCTACACAGAAAAAAGGTTTAATATATTTAAGATGAATGGTCTTATTTTAATACTTTGTTGTGTTTGTATATCTGCAAGTAAAGCTTGTCTCGATTTGAAATTGTAGTAATACTTGTTCAACAATAGCTAGTTAGCCTTGCTTCAAGATTAAAATCAACTTACCCTAACTAAAATACCTCTAATTAAATGAAGAGTATATATTGCTCAATTGCAGTATTATGTACTTAAATGAAATAGTCTTACATTTTTTTTAAATATACCTATATTCAATAATACCTTGTTCTTAATTTCAATACAACTAAATTTGTTACAATAATATTACGAACTGTTCCAAGAAATGTTAATATTGGTTTTGAAATTAATATATTGAGTTTGGTTGAATTATAGGATAGTTTCATTAAAGAAATTAATAATCTTGAAACAAGAACAGGCTGTTCTTGCTTTTTAATAGGGTTTTCACTGGTAACTATCAACCGAAAAACATTTTTCAAAATTGTTTTTCAAATTCCTCTCTCCTTTGAGGCGTCACATCTATAATAATAAAAATATAATTTTATAACTACAAAACCTAAATGGAACATAAAAGTTTGTGCTGCTAAGAGGTCGTATCTACAAAAGAAATATTTTTTTTTAAATGTGGGTAGGTAGATAATTACGTCCTTTTAGACTTTAGTAAATATTTTCTAATGCAAATAGGCCTTCATTATTTTGTGTAATAATAAAAAAAAATGTAGACTTAATAAATTTTTAAGAATCTTGAAATCGTAATTTTCGTAGATACCTCTTGTCTTAGCAAGGCAGAAATCGTCTTTTTAAAAAGTCGTCATTCAGCAATCACACATTTTTTTTACTTCTATTCTAGATTGTTTCGTATTCTTATAATTATAAATTTACTTATATATAGTATAATACCTAACAAGAAACATTTAAATATGGTATCAGGTATCAGGTCGCTGATTCATACACTTATTTATTGAATCACAAAGAATTTCTAACAAAAAGTAGTATGCAATCCTAACTATACAATGCAAACTTGTTAGAAAATGGAGAATGACAATAGGATGAACACGTGCTAATGCCAATTTGCCAGATTCTCTATAAATGCGTTGCGTCTCTGACTTCCGAATAATAAGTATCACATCTCAACATATATCTACCGTACCAGTGCAGTGGTTGCATTTTAAAATAAGTAACAGCTGGCAACATCGTGCAGTGATTTTGTACTCGCTAATCATTTCTGAAGTTTATAGGTTTTTGATTCGAAATGTTTAATTCTTGTTCTAAAATTTAAATGTTTTAAATCCTTTTACAACATTGAATAAAGTAAGCGAAAGTCGTTTTTAACAGCATATTACACTTAAAATAAACAACATTTAATTTCTTCTTGTGTCGAGAAATATTATTTGAAGCAAACTCTGCTTTATTTTAACCAAATGTAATCTTCCAAGTGAAAAGCTTTTCTTGAATGTAGACGATAATTTTTTTCTGTATATAAAGAAAAAGTAAAATATTTTTCAGAACATTATTTACAAAATTTAAATTACCTACTCATGAAAACATTAATCTCTGTAAATTACATATTCAAAGACAAAAAACAAACAAATTAAAAATTTATTACAAAAATATGCATATGATTCCATTAAGGTTCCTCAGTTGTTTATGTATGGCAAAGCTTTATTTATTTAAAAATTTTCATGATGTAGGAAAATAGTGAATAACTCAATTTAGTGTATTATTAATAACCATTTATCGTGTATTTCTCACGCTACCAGTGTTGTTGAAAATTAAAAAGTTTTTTAATGATAAATAATTTACTTCAAATACGTTTTTAACGTCACGCGAATTATAGTTATTTTTGTTTTTTCGTGCGCTTTGCACGTTAAGGTGAAGGAACATACTAAATAATTGGAAATAAATTAAAGTTCATGAGTTATATCGGTTACTGTATGACTATGCAAAAAATCGTATAGGTTTAATTTGCATATGTTTAAATCGGAAGACTTAGCTGTATATGAAGTTAACAAGTAAACGAAATTTAAGAAACCTTCGACAGCAGAAAAGAAAGGTTCAAAAGCAAAACAAATAGATAAAAAACAGGTGCCTCAAAAACTACCATATCAATTGCTTGAATGGGATTTCCGTGTTCTTTATAACTGTTGTACCATCAAAAAGTGCTTCTCTGGTTACACCATCTAAAAATATCCATTTTGAAATTCAACATCATCCAGTTTTTTACTAATAGTTTTGACAAATTTTAAACAACTGTTTAGCTTTAATTTAAAGGTTGAAATGTCAATGTGTGAAAGTGGTTAAAGTACTAACCCGAGACATTAATAATTTCACACCCAACGAAATTGGAGAATGTTAACAAGCTCTCACGAATTCATTAAGTGCTAAACATTATTCGTGGTACATTTTCGAAAATAAACAATATTAAGGTTAAGGCTTTACGGAATTGCACCACTCCTGTGATCCTTAAAAAATAGGTTACAAAATAATTGAAACAACAAGATAGTTAAAATGTAAAACCAAATAGCTGCTGAATATCTTCTTGCTATCGTTAAGTAATGATGAGGATATCAATAATATATTTAGTATAAAAGATATCATGTGTATTAGAATTGACAATCAGCCTATTAGAAAAACTAAATGTAAATCTTATCAGACATATAGACACACACACAAATATTGTTTAAAGGAACCAAGGTGCGTTAGGTGTACAGTGAAACATTTAACAGTGGAGTGTTATAAACCAAAGTGTGTACCTTGTGGAGAAAGCCACTTGGCTAATTACCGCAGATACGTTATAGCTAAAGGAATTAAAAAAAAAACAAGCAAATTAAGAAGCTAAATCATATTATAGGGCATTAAAAAACTAAAACTATGATTTTCCTCAATGGCTCGTTAGATAATTTCAGATATATTGTCTTGTTTTACACATCATGGTACCCATAACAAATGCTTTATAAAAATAACGCCATATGTAATAGCAATTTTAAACAAAAATGATTTTTATTTTTCACAAAATAACGGGGATCTGTCTCAAGATTCGGAGTTTTATTGCAGCCATCCCTCTAAAGAATACTTATTACTTCCTTTCCTGAAATTACAGCTGATCATTCACGCATCAACGCTAGAATATCAAAAAGAGAGATTCGTGATCGAACCAGAAGTAAATTAGTTTTCAGAATCGATTTGCTGAGTAAATCCCAAGAGAAAAAAGAAGATCATCAGTCGCATTTCTCTTTTAGGCCAGGATTTATAATGTTATTCTGAATATCAAGTTTACCACGGATTTAACTGTAATGAAGTTGTAGGCACGGTTGTAGGTATTTGTCCAATATTATTTAAAAAGATTAAAGCAGTATTAACTTTTTCTTATCTACAACGACTTGAGATCTTTTATGACAAAAATATTGTAAAGAAGATTAATTAATTATGTTAGGAATACAAAAATATCAGAAATGACTTTAGACCGCCCCTGTAATATTTACTTAAGTATCAATTTGGAGCACTGTTGACCAAGTCAATAAAGTGAAAACAACTAGCACGGTTGTTATCCAATCCAATACAAATGCATGAATTTGAAATCAATAATAATGACTGGACAAATAAAAACTGTTGGTAATATGTATGCGCGACAATGATTGCGCGAGCCGTAACGGTGTTGAAAACACGCTGACAACGGCAAATTGATCTTTAAACTCGTGTTACCCATCATAACAGACATATCGACAATTGGGTAAAAACCCACGCTTTAATGGCGACCAAGTTATAAATGTTCTGATTACGATATATGTACATAGTAAAAAAATATAATAAAATGTAGTATTGCGTTCTTCGTGTAAAACTAAACAGTGTTCATCATCATCATCATCATCATCTGAATTAGGGCGTGGTTCAAAGCCCACTTGTACTGAAGATCTAGGCTTATTGTAACCCTCACAGTTTCTTTCCCATCAGATTAATTTTCTTGATGAATTCAAGAATATGTCTGATGGGCGCTTTCGCGATTTCTTCAGGTTCCGGATATTGTACCCCGAAGTACCATTCTCGTTCCCATTTAAGGTTCCGGCAGTGGCATAGTATGTGAATAGGAGTTTCGTCCTCCTCTTCACATATTCTGCATAGGGAGTCATCAGATATCCCTAAAAGATTTAGGTGTCTTCTAAGGCCGCAGTGTCCCGTAAGGAGTCCTATTACGGCCTTGAGTTCGCTTCTGCTAAGGTTTAGCAGTTGATGTTGTCTGCTCGTGGATGGCCCCTCTATGAATCTTTTGGACTGTCTAAGTCCAGGAAGTTCCATCCAGAGCCTATGGTGTTCTCTTTTTATTTGTTCCTTTAACACCCATTTAACATGTTGGTATGAGATACCACATGTGGGTTCTGGTCCAATAAGAGTTTTTTCCGCTCCATTCCTTGCTAGGAGGTCTGCTTTCTCGTTTCCAAACACTCCCTCATGTCCTGGCCTGGAGGGATTGTTGGCAATCAAATATTGATTTAGATTGTACTTC